TGGGCGTGCTGGGGGCGTTGCGGGGCCCTCTGTGCCCCCCTTTCAAAGCCACCTTGGAGGTCGAGGCTCGGTCGCGAGGAGGCTGGGGCCGTCAGAGAGCCCTCGGAGCCGTCCAAGGCCCCCTGCAGCCTGCATGCTATACTTGGGCACTGGCCCAGGCCCCCCCTCCCTGGGCCTTTTTTATCCTATCTCTTTGTCTATATGCCTCCCTCTCTCTCTCTCGCGCTCTTTTTTTTGTTTTTTTTTTTTCTCTCTCTCTCTCTCTCTTTCTTCTCTCTCGCGCGCTCTCTCTCTTTCTCTCTATCTATATATATGTATCTTATATATATATATGTATAACCTCAGATTCATACATGTACATATGCATACATGTGTGCATGCATGCGTGTCTGCATGTACAGGTACACGCATTACCTATATATATATGCATAGATATATGTATGTATATATATACATAGAGATATATACAAGTTAGATGAATCGGACTGGGGAAGGAAAGGGGAAGGGGAGCAGAGGGTGCGGCGGATGGGGGTGCTGGCGTTGTGTTCACGCCTCGTTCTCGACATTGATGCGGACGCACCACGTCGTGAAGATCGCCCCAGAGATATCCCGTTGCGTACGTGTGCGCACCAAACTCCAAGCGGCAACCGTATCCCACTGACTGGGGGGAAGGCTGTGCAGACGGAGAGATGCGGGAAGACGAAGCGAACGGAACATAACAGAACATAACAAAACAGAGCGAGTTCCTGTACCCCCTGCCGGGAAAGCCTGTCGACGAGCCCCTCGCCAGCTCGATCGACATTCGCCGCAAGGGGAATCTGGCTTGGGCAGTTGCTTTTTCCGTCGGCGGCGAGGCAGACTGCCTGCGCCAGCGATGGAGCTGAACGGAGACACCGAGAAGCGACTTGCCCGGCATGCGGGAGAGTGGACAAACACGGACAGGGCGGGTGGGCAGCTGCGCGCCCCACGATCGAAGATGCACTCGGCCTGCTGCGCCCCTTTAGGGAGCGGCGCAGGCCGGACTGAGCTGGGGGGCCCGACTCGACACGCAGCCGATGGCCCAGCTCTACGAACTCTCGGGCACGAGGACCGCGACGAGGAGGGGGCGGAGCGTCCCTCCGAGTCCGTCTGATCTACTGCTGCCGCTGCCCTCCCTCCCGCTCCCGCTGCGCTCGCCTCCGCGGCCCCATGGGAAGGTCCGCGGCCGGACGCGCTGCGCGTGCGAGCTGGAAGGTGGCTGCGGGGTCGGGCGGGTCGCCCGCTCCTCTCCTGCTCCGAACGCGCAGGAGGCGATGGAGATGATAGAATATCACAAGTCTACGAAGACGAGATAGGATGCAAGGATTGAGAGCAAGACGAGAGAGGCTCAAGAGGGGTACAATTGGAGAGGCTATCTCGGCATTGGCACCCGAGCAGGCAGCATCGGTCGACATTCCTTACACGCGTGTCATTGACCCAACCTCCTGTCCAGGTGCGGATCGCCGCCAAGCGCCAGGAGGGAGGGGCCGACTCCAAGACGAGACGCACCTTGCGGCACTGGAAGCGGCACGAGGCGGCGGGGGCAATCTCAAACCATTTGGCGAAGCGCTTACGAAGGCAGGGAAGGAGGGAGTCGGGGGACCGATAGAGGATAGGGAGGATGCCGCGGGTCAGAGCACGCTGCATCTTGAGACGAGGGCCCCCAGCAGCAGGACGCGTCACCAGGATGTCCCGGCGGAACTGTTCCGGAACGTTCTGGCGACGGCCTGCTCCGCGCTTGGCCAGCGGGGCTCCGGATCGTTCAACCCTCTGCGGCATCGAACGTTCCCGCGCCGCGTTCGGCCTCCAGAGAGGACAGCCCCGCCGAGGCCGCCGCGCGGCCCCGCCCCAAGGAGACCCGAACTTCCGCCGCTTCCGGCAGAAACCACGGTCACGCAGGCCCCCGCCAGAAGTCGGGCCAGCGGAGCCTCTCCAGCGCAGCTGACCAAGGCGCGCGCAACCCCATACGCAGCCATCCAGCAGACGGCGCTCTCGAGACTGGCATGCTGTGAAAGTGACGCCCGTCCTCATTACGGCCGCCAGTGCATTGCTGCGGACGCCCTGGGCCCTGGGGCCCCCCAGGACGGGGAGGTCGAGGAAGCGGGCGGAGGAGAGCCAGGGTCCAGGGCCCGAAAAACGCGAATTCAAATGTCTTCCTCTCTGCGGAGCAACTGCTTGGAAATCGGCACAGCTGGGATTTATACGGGAAGGCGCCGGTCGCCCGCTCGTGATATGGTGCAACCGCGGCACGCGCGTCCGCATGCGAGCGAGAGATCGCGACCGCCCTTTCCTCCAGCTTGGCCGAGGGGACAGCCCGCTGCTTCGAGTTTTCGGCCCTTGGGCCCCCTTCGTGCCCCAGGCGCTCCAGCGCCGGCCAACCTGGGATTCGTCGACTCGAGAAGCTCGACAGCTTGGGCCCCCAACTCTTCAGACCACGGGGCCCAGAGCGGGGTGGCGCAACATTTTGGAGGCTTCAGCTCACGGCCAGCAAGTTTTTTCGAGATCCTAGTTACAGATGCGCGCGAGGACGCGCGAACAGGGCCTTCCTTGCGCTGCCGCGCCCACGTCGTCCTCGCAGCACCTCCCGACCCCCTTGCCAGCGGCCTCCAGGGCCCGCCCCGTGTCTTTGCAGGGCGCGTGCATAGCAATAACACAGAAGCTGCCTGGGAGAGGGCCCCCCTGGAGGGCACCAGCCAGGATCCAAAACAAGAGCGGGCGATCGCTGTCAGCGCTGAGAGTGGCAGCCATGCTGCAGTTCGCTGGAGCCGCTGCTATCAAGGCCTCGGGGGCAAGACCCCAGAACTTGCCGGATCCAGGCGTGGGCCACCGAGAGAAAGGCGCGGGCGTCGTCGAAGGCGAGGAGGAGAGGGCGGGTGAAGGCACGGGCAAGGGAGCCCATAGCCCACATGCTGCCAACTATGGCCAAGCTGTCGAATTCAATCAGATTCTCGATAAAGCGTCGACCGCGAATGCATCTTCTCTGATTTTGGGCGACTACCTTTTGCGCGGCGCGCTTAAGCGGCAGTTCAGGGCCGAGCTAATTGCTTCAGCACCAGCGTGGCGCGTGCTGCCAGGGGCCCGCGGGGCGACAGCCCGGTCAGCCTCCGCCGATCCCTCGGGGAGAAAGATGCCGAGGGCTAGGTTATAATCAGACCGCGCGGTCAGACCCTCGAGCACCCACTGAATGGCTCGATTGGCGACAGAGGCTCCGCAAATCGCCGCTGCCCAAACTACCGCGGGAAGGTCGCCAGGGCCTGGGGCCGCAGGTAGGGCGCGGCGCAGTGCGGCGCGCGGGCGGCGCAGCGCGGCGCGCGGGCCCGCCTGCCAGGGCGCGGGGAAGTAGCCCCAGTCCAGCGACGGGACGCCAAAACGCTCGAGGAACGCCCGCTACTCCTTCCGCCGCTGCGCGCCGACGTCGGGCGGGGTCGCGGGACAGAACGCCTGGCGCAAGTGGCGGCTCAGCGCGCGCTCGATGGCGACGGTCTCCGCGAGCTCGCGACCTTCGCCCTCCAGCGCCACCAGGCATCGCCCGGCGTTGAGCGGCGCCCAGAGTCGCGCGCGGCGACGGAGCGCGCGCTGCTGCACGACCAGCTGCATCATCCGATTATCCTCGGGCTGGATTTGGTCAGCTCGCCTGGCCTGTAGGGCTTTCGCTTTTCATGTTAGAAACGCTTCTGCTGAAAACGTATGAAAAACTATGTTTGGTCTGATATGGCGGAGCAGCCTACGCGCGCGCTGAATTCCGCGGTATCGCGACGTGAAGCGTGGAGGTGCGATGACATGTACACGCGGGTTGTTCGTATTTTCGCACAGCGGCAGGGGGTGCGCTCGCATGTATCGCGCAAAACGCCCACGACGCAACGTATTCCGTTAAGCACACAAGAACGTAATCCCAAATTGCATCGATAAAGCGCACAGGCCACGCTTACCCACACGGTCCTGAACAAATGTTCCCGCGAGATTTGTTGTCATCGTTTGTGCGCACCTCCGCATGTCCCCCATTCCTGGCAAGCAGGAACAACATGGTCAAACGCGCGCTGTCAATACTGCCAAACATTATCGACGCTTCGCCCATCCAAATCATCCCATTCAGAAACAGCGCCCATGGGGGCTGTCTAGAGGAGGTTCGTAGGTAAGCGAACAACGAAGCAGGGATGCCAACATCGTGACATTGCACACTTCGGAGGGGCTCTCGAAACCATATCGGAATAATTTGGGAAACCTTCGGGACCTTCTTGGGCCCCTGTTGGGGCTACTTGGGCGCCCTTTGGAAGCCCTGGAAGGCCTCTCGAGGCCATCTCGGAGTGCATCGAAGGGGCGGCCGCGACGAGAGCGGCGGCGGGGGCGAAGCCCTGGCAAGATAGCTAGGGGTCGGCGGAAAGAGAGCGAAACTCCCTAAGTATATGCGAGCGGTTACAAGTACATGCAACTAGAACCACGCGCGCGCTTCGCGCGCTTAGGTTCTAGCAAGCTCCAGCCCTGGACAATCTCACAGTGGCGTGCAAATGCGTGCGCAAGCAAGCAACGTCACGACTTACCCACACATGATACCAACATAGGGTGAATGAGCATGAAAAACGCGGGCCGCTCAGAGACGATTTCGGACAAGGCGCGCCGCGAAGACTCCAAGGGCACCCCAGGGAGGCGCGGCGGAGAACTCCAAAGGGCAATCCAAGAAGATCCCAAAAGCGCCCTGAGAGGGGCCCAAAGGGGGTCCCAAGACAACCTCGGGCGCCCCCAGGGCACTCCCCAAGCGCTGCGCGCTGATACTATGAAGGGCAGGCGCGAAGCGCTGATATTAGAAGGCGGGCGCGAAGCGCTGATATGATTAACGGCGAGCGCGAATCGCTGGCATGATGAAGGGCACGCGCGAAGCGCTGATATGATGAGAAGCAAGCGCGGAGCGCTGATATGACGAATGGCCAACAAGATAAACCAACGCAAAAAAAAAACATGAGCGTTATGCAATACTGATGTTCATCACGCACCTTCCTGCAACATGGTGCTCTCTAGTCTCTCGAGGGCACTTTCAAATCTCAAGACATCGCAGCGGCCACATTCCCTTGGCACGCGGCCCCCAGCCAGGCAAACTATGCCCGCAAGGCGCCAGCAGGTCTGGAACTGAGCGCCACTCAGCGCCACTCACACATCTGCCACTGGCACAGGAGCGAAGCCCCTGAGAATCACCGCCCACTTGGCGTAGCCGCCCGCCCACAAGTCAGGGTGCGCATCCATGATAGACGTCGCGTACTCCAGGGTCGCCTCCGCGGCATCTCCAGCGTTCGCGTCCAGAACGCCCCAGCGAAGACCATGGGCGCCGCCCCCATCTTTGTCGCGCGTGCCAACGATCGTCACCATGTAGCTGGAGGGGATGACGACAACCGAATTCAAGCAGTCGTGCACGATCCAGAAGCCGTCGTTGGGGTCGTTGGCCTCCGGTGCACAAGAGGCTGAGGAGCAAGAAAAGGACGAGGACGAGGAGGGGCAGAAAGACGAGCTGGAAAGGGGAAGGGGTAGGGGAATTTAAAAAGGAGTCAGAGGAGGGGGGGGGGGGGCAAGGCAAGAGGGGAAGAATGGGATACTAGAAAGAATGGGGAGGACGAGCAAGGTCGAGGACCCCGAGCCGGGAAATCAACGGAAGGGGAAGGGCAAGCAGGCTTCGAGTAGGAGGGCCGGATGAGGAGCAAAAAAAGGATGAGGATGAGGAGGGGCAAGACGACGAGGAAGGGGGAATGGGTCGGGGAAGTAAAGAGGAGTCGGAGGAGGGGGCGGAACAGGGCAAGCGGCGAAGAACAGGATGCTAGAAAGAGTGGGGAGAACGAGTTAGGTCGAGGATCCCGAGCCGGGAAATCAACAGGAGGGGAAGGGTAAGGAGGCCTCGAGTAGGAAGGCCTCCTCGTCGCCACGGCTGGGCGCGGCCCGAGGAACTGTTGATTTTGGACCCCAGGATTGGTTTGGGAGGGGTTGCGGCGGAGGAGTAGGGAGGATGACCACGACGACGCACCCACGTGCCTTCATGAGGAAAGCCCGCATGCCAGGATCCGTCGCAAGCTTCTCCGTCTTCGCCTTCAAGGCGTCGCCGGACAGCGCGGACATCCGCGCGCCCGCGATCATGTAGCCTCTCTCGATCAAGTACCGCGCCTCCGCCGTTCCGTGCGGCGTCGGCCCGCAGTGAAGGCGGCTCTCACTCATTGCCCAGTGCTGCGGCAAGAAGATATCGTCGCGGAGAGCCCCCTGCGCCGCCGACGCACGAACGACCGAGAAGAGGTCACCACATAACTTCTTGGAGATGCCGTTGCCTTGCTTTGCGACCTGCTGCCTGTAGCTCGATGTGACTACGGTCTTATCCGGATCTTTCGCAAATGTCTTCATCAACCACTTCGCATGAGACATCAGCCCGCCGTGCCCAGTCAGCGCCTTCAGGAAGTCATCGGGGAGCTCGGTCATCGGGGGCCTGGCCACAAGGTTCGGCGGGACGAGCGACTTCGACTCCTGCATGGGCAACTTATCGATGCCATGAAAGTCAGATCCAGAGGCGTTGTGGTACTCCTTCACCTTCGTCAAGATGCCTGCTGTGTCGGTGGTATCCTTCCCCTTCTTGTCGGCCCCCTCCTTCCTCGCCTGCTTCTCGGCGTCCACGCGGGCCTTCTTGGCCGCCTTCTTGAAAGCCCCGATGGCCTTCGTTATAGCAGGCGAGTTAGTCTTCAGGGCAGGCTTCGCCAAGTCGAACACCGCCGTGCGGACCTTCTCCAAGTCAGCGCCATTATTTTCCACAAGCTCCTCGCACTTCAACGCAGCCACGGTCCTCGACACCTTCTGCATCTTCTCGATTGTTTCGTCGATCTCTTCTTTGGAGGATGCATGCGCCGTCTCCACATCTGGAGGGAATGCGCCACCGCGCGTCGCCTTCCACTCGTTGGGCGCCTCCAAGAACAGCTGCTTCAGCTTCGCCGCGGCGTCGATGATATATTGCGCCCTGTCTCTGACCAGCCTCGACACGTCGGTCAACAACTGGCCGCGCGTCTCTTCCGGGCGACCGCCGACTGATGGCCGAGAGACGCCAGGCCCAACAGTCTCGCTCGCCTTCTTAAGCCTCCTCACCGTCGCTGCTTCGCGGTCATCTTGCTCCCCCACGTCGGCGATCTTGGCCTGGCGCTGCATGTCAAAGAACACAGCCCTGCGGCTGTCAGACTGCGCGTCGTAGATGGGCTTCGGCGCCTCCACCGGAATGGCCGCCAGCTCAGCCGCCACGAAAGCACTTGGCTGAGGCGTCCCAGGGGCTGTAGCCTGCTGGCTTTTCATGAGCCACTCAGCCTGTTGAAGTGTGGCAGCTTGGGCTAGATCGCTGGCAGCCTGGTGGTCCACGGTGTCGCGGATCGCCCCCTGCCTCTTCCAGCTCTGCGACTCCCTGTCCCCAGTTCCGACCCGATCCTGCGCACCTCTGAACACCCCGATGCCGATGTGGCCGTGGATGGTCCGCTCGGGCACGTTCCTGCCCATGCAAGCCTCCTCGTACCGCGCCAGGGCCCTCGCCATCTGCTCCTCACCTGTGCAATCGCCGCACTTGCCCAACATCCCCTGGCGGATCATCCAATCCTCTGGCGCGAGGTAGTCGTGCGAGTTCGCGCTGGCGGAGACGTTGGCCTTGGTCGAGTCCTCCTCGTAGACGCCCGCGTCGTCGAAGGCGTGCTTCTTGTTCGGCTCGTAGGTGCTCTTATTGCGTTGGTACCAGTGTTTCTTCCTGTCCTTGGTCAACCCATTCCACCGCTCCTTGGTAGCGGAGTTCGCGTTGCAGCGCTCGTTGTTGCGGTTGTAATTGGTCTTCCAGATGTGGCATGCCATCTGCTTCTTGGAATAGCTGCGCATCTCGCTGGCCGGGCAGCGTTCTTCGCAAAGGCAACACGTGGACATCATGATCTGGGAGCCGACTCGTAAGATACTCTTCTTCGCCGTTGGAGGAGACATGGGCGGCGAGGACATAGGCGTAGGCTGGGCGCAGAAACCTGGCGTAGACACGCCACCATGTCCGCTGGGCGCTCCGCCAGGGGAGGCGCCCCCAGGCGTCGTCGCCGTTCCCGACGCCCCTGACACGCCCTCGGGTGATCGGTTGATCTTGAGCGTGAATGTCAGCGAAAGACGCCCGATACCCGGCCGGCAGTCTGATCGAAGAGGGGGGATGGATAGGCGAGCATTGCGTTACTTGCTTTTTTAACATAGAACTCCAGGAACACATTGCCTTTTGTCATCTGCTTTATTCGTTTGGTATTTGCTCATATCTCATAGATCCGCACGTTCAACCTCGCACGCGCGCTCGGGGCCGAAGGAGGGCTGATCTCTCCCGCGGGCGAAGTGAAAGGGGGGGGGGGGGGGCAGGCGGAAGGAGGGGGGAGGGGGAGGTCGCCAACCTGGCCCCAGATATTCGCAGCCATGTTTTCGCAAAGGCCCATGATGCCTTGCGCGCAGTGGAACCCCCGTGTGTGTGTGTAGGTGCGTGTAGGTGCGTGTAGGTGTGTGCGTGTGTGTGTGCGTGTGTGTGTGTGCGTTTGTTTCTATACCAAAAAAAAAAAGCTTTCATGATTTTCAGAAGGGCCAGCCCGCGGAAGAGCACTGGAGACTGACAGAGAACTGCACGGTTCCATGGCGACCTAGTTTGCCGAGGGGGAAGCGGGGAACGCTATCGCATGAAACTCCATGCTGTTTTGGGGTCCACAGCGTGCCCAAATAATATCCCAGACTCGCCTGCACGCGGCAGGCGCCCCCGCGCTCAGCAGGCTTGCATCGAATATAAAATCTGCTATCTAACATCGAGCAGTCAAAGCGCTACCCGGATAGCTTCAACCCACGCGCGCAAGACAGGGGACATGATGGCGCCGATCAGTGGGACTGGTATAGTGTTGCCCGCGCCCACGCGCGTCGAGTGAGCCTGGAACAATGCCAGCAACCCTGCATTTCTCTGCGCGGCTGAGCAAACGGCCCTTTATCACCAAAGGTGCCCATCAATGAACTCAACGGTAAGATCCAGAGGTGAGAGCAAGTCGTCCTCAACGTTTTCGTGCCACCCACTGTGTAGCCACCCTCTGTTCTCCTGAGCGGGCCCCTAGCCGCGTCGACTATTGCGACAACCCTGCCCTCGCCCGCCTCCAGTCGGAACTGAGCCAGGTGCTCGAGCACGTACACTTGTTGCCGCAGGCTCAGATCGGAGAAGTCCTCAGCAGAAGCCGTCGGGTCCAGAAAGTAAATGATGTCGACTTGCGGGCGTTCGGCATAACCTACATGCAAGACGCGTCGTTGCAAAGCCGTCTCCCTCAACCTAATTAGGGGACGTCCCTATGAAGAACAGGCGGGGCCGATACTGAGGTAGGTCGCAGTGGATGCCGTTGAACTCCACGATGTCTATCTTCCAGCCGGCTGGCATGGCTGACATCATTTCACGAACGAGCCAATCAGCAAACGATTCGGAATCACCGCGGTGCCGCTTGCGGATGCCACGCACGTTCTCGATGATCCACCAGAGCAGCTTGCCGTGCTTGATCAAGTGTATGATCCAAAGCGCCACTGCCACAAATACTGTTGAACGTGGGTCCATCTCCAGCAGGCGTTGCCCCATGGTAGAATATGGAGGGCAAGGTGGGCCCGAAGCAAGGCCATCAGCTTCCAAATACAGTGCATATATGGGGGACCTGTGAGATGTCTCCAAGCCTCTTGCCGACGTGGATAGCGTTCGTGTCCTCTGCCAACAGTTCCAGCGCTGGCTTCAGAGCTATGTTCACTTCGTAATCGCCCGCGCTCTCCCATGGCGCGCCCATCTCTAGCGCTGCGCGAGCGGGGGCGTTCACTCCAGCACAGGGCGAGATCGCTCGGACTCTCCTGGTGGCCCCCGCCAGATGGGCGCGGAAGGCAGCGGCCCGTGGGCGATCCGGGAAAACTTTGGAGTCGCATTGAAGAGGCGGCGGGTGGAATGACCTTGACAGCGCCATAGCGCAACAATCTGATCTCATGGCTGTGGACGAGGGAGGCCCATCACATGCAGTCGGGGTGGGTTGGCGAGGGCGCGCGAGAGGACGCGAGACTCTCCCGAGGGCCACAATGCCATCTGAATGTAGAAGCATGGGCCGCGAGGCACAGGACGCAAGGGCACCCTTGATTTGGCAGGGTCGACCTACTAATCCAACTCGGCTGTAGAGCAGCATCAGCTTTTGGGGAGCGCGCGCGAGAGCCGCAGGGGAATACGGTCAGATCAGAAGAGCAGCGAGCAGGAGCAGCGGCAGGAGCAAAACGAGCGGGAGGAGTATGGGGGGGCGCATGGACAGGCACCCTCGAGACCCCCCTGAGGCCCCCAAGAGGGCCCACATAAGATCACGAAGACCTTCCAGGGTGGATCCAAGCAGCCCGCCCTTCAAGCATAAGTTGGAGGAGGGCGCGGAGAACGCCGA